TACGTGGGATTTTGTACCAGCTCTGGGGCTCTGCAGCCCCGGCTCTCTTTGCCATTCGCTTTACATCTGTAATTAATTAAAAATAGGAAGAATCAAACATCCTTTTGGCAGATGTGGGGTCTTCCAGCTTTCCAACCCCCGTTCTGCGTCTCCTCCTTCGTTCCCCTGGGTTAGGAGCGAGCTGGCAGCACCGTGCCCCGTTTGCAGGATGAAGACCCCCTTAATAAGACCTTATAGCAGCTGGATGCACAACCAAACCTCGAGCCTTCCTGGGGGCTGGGCTGCGCTCGGCTCGCTGCGGCGTGGGGCGAGAAGATCCCCGTTGTGGCTGGGATAAATTATTGCTCAAGATTGCGGGCAGAGAGGTTTGGGGCTCGTCTGGGCTGCCCCAAGCAGGTTTCTTTGCAAGTGAGGCTTCTGCTTTTTTTAAAAGTTGTGCAATGCATCTGGGCAAAGCCATTCTTAATTATTCTTCTTCTTCTCCCTGGAGTGGGTTAAGCGCTCGGGTGAGACGAGGAAGTCGGGGGAAACCGGCCCAGATGGTGGTTGCTTTTGGTGTCTCACCTGGCACGAACGTGGGGGAGGCAGGTAGCACCGGGACGGGGCTGCACGGAGAGAGGCAGCGCCGGCTGCCGAGTGATGGGAGCTGCTTGTTTTGTGGATGTGAAAGGTTTTGAACCTGAAAAACAAAAGTTGAAGGTTGAGGGGAAAAGAAACCTCTTTTGTGCGTTGGGGGGCGGCTGCCCGGAGCTGCTGGCTAGGATTTGGCTGTCGCCTTGTGCAGGATGGAGTTCAGCTGCCCATTGAAAGGAGGGCACGGCCGAAGGCGTGCGGGCAGGCTTCGAGGGAAGCGCTTCGGGGAGACCACGGACAGGCGAGGAAAACCCATCGAGGCACAGGCACCGTCGGGTGGCCCTCGCAGGACGGGCGAGGGTGGCACATCACCCATCACCCGCTCAGCTTTCCTCGTCGGGGAGCCTGGGATGCGATGCTAGAAACGCCTGGATTTTATTTTGGGTCTGTTTTGTCCAGATTTAGTTAGTACCATCAAATCAACGAGCGGAGCCCGTCCAGGAGGGTGTGCTGCCTGTGACCGAGGTGGAAAAATCCTCGCTGATGCTTGTGTTAATTGAACATCTATTTTGGTTTTTTTTTAGTCTCCACAGCCAAGTTAAATAAAAGCCCGTGATAGCCGACTTTCCACACCCTCCAGGAGTTATAAACCCGCGTTATAGTCGCTCAGAAGTGGGCAGAAAATGCCCTGTTTAATTTGGCAAGCCGCGGATGTGGCCAAAACGTCTCCGTTCGGCTTTTCGCCGAGCCAGACCCCCACCAGCCGAAAGGACTTCAGGGGAGCCCAGCCCCGACGGAGGCATTTGGGAAACCGTGCTGGCTGGGAGGGCCAGATCCTGCCTCCGGACCTGGATCCTGCTGGGGTTAAGCCTAATTTGGCTTTTTGCATCATCTGGAGGGTGGCAATCGCTGTCTTTTAGGGGCAAAGCCGTTTCGGGTACCTCGCCGGATGGCACGGTCCGAGCTGAACTGCCCCCAAAGGCACTCGGGGATGAGGTTTATAAGGTCATTCTGCTTTCGGTGCCTTTTTATGAGGCTTTGGAGTCCACTTGGAAAAAGAGCTACTTGTTTTTTGTCGGGGCTAAATGGTTTTGATCAACAACGCGGCATTTTTTTTATGCCTCCTTCCCTTGCCCGACCCGCGGGTGAGATCAGCACCTGCCTCTGGAGGAGGAAGGACCTAATGAATTGCAAAAGGATGCGACTGTACCTGCCTTCTTGGGGCTATGCTTTAGTGGGCTCCTTCCATTTTATTTTTTTTTCCAAGTCAGCTATGGAAAATCTATATAAATCCCCTATTCTTGCAGCTTATGGTGCCCCTGAAAGTGAAAACACCTGGTTTCAAAGGGCAATCCTGACTCTTAATTGCTCTTAATAGCATATTTTGATTTTATAGACAGGATAGTGCGACTTGGGAGCTTGCTTGCTTGGCAGAGGAAACACTGGGCTTTTCTGATGCTTTGAAGTTTGAGTTCAGGAAGGTTTTTGGTGGAGGAGTGAGGGCCCTTCCCTGCGTGTCTCTCTCCCCTGTACAGGCTACATCAGCTTTTCAGGGACACAACCACAACAAACTCACTGGGGACGGGTCAGACAACTCTCAGACTATACATTTTTCCACTTTTAATGCACCAAAATCCAGAGGTATCTCGTGCCATTCCCGTTTTGAAGGGCCTGGCAATTTTAATTCTTAAAAGATTAATACAGCAAAGTTGCAATACCATTGATATACTATTGTTTTCCATCTTTATTCATCCCCAGGTGCAGCAAGAATGGCTCCCTTCAGGCCATTCATAATTGGCAAATGCTTTTAAGACCTTTAACAGTCGCACGCTCCGTTTTGCAAGGTGCCTGGTTTATTGTCTGAAAGAGTCGCTCTGAGAAATTACTTCACTAATGTTTTGCAAGGGACCAAACTGAGTGATTGATGGACAGGATTCAAGTCCCTGATAGCCGGTCACTTAATCTGCAATCAGGACTGTCCTGATCAATTTGAGAGGCAGCGGGCTCGTGCGCAGCGAGGGGGAGATGCGGAGATTTACCTTTGCCGCAGCGGCTGGGGAGGGATTATCGCCCAGAGCAGCCAGAAGCAGGGCCAGGTTGTCTGTGGGAGTGGGTGAGGTTAATCCCAGCTGAGGATCTGGATTTTTGCCTTTTATATTTAGGCTGAGGGATGCCAATATCGAAGATGCTCTACCACGTCTTTAGCTGTGCCGGTAGCACAGCTCTGCTTACCTGTTGCTCGTGCTCTTCCTGATGCCCATAAACTCTCCTCACCCCAGGTAAAGGCTTTTCCATCACCTCTGCCAACTCCCCTTTGCTTTGCAATCAGTCTTCACAGTAGAAATGACTTGCGTTTTGACTGCCCTGTTGCTGTGGAAAATACCCGGGCTGAGATGAGCGGGCCAGGGTGCACGTGCAGACCCAACGGCTGGGCTCGTGCCCGGGCTGCTGGATTTTCATGTTGATTTTCAAAAGACCACTTCAGAGGGGCTGGGGGACGAATTCCCTAATGCAGCACCAATGCTTTGTCTCGCCCTTTTTAACTGAGCCTCAAAACCAGTTCAATTTGCCCACAACCCTTTAATTTAAAAACCAGCATAGGGTGCAGGTAGCCGAGGATGCTGCAGCTGGCGTAGCCGGAGCCCTCAGCAGCCCCGGGGAGAGACACGAGGTGCAAATCCATCCCAAAAGCTGCTGCAGGAGGGACTCGGTGCCGTACCCCTATCGCAATGCGGGCACAAACCCAGCCGGAGACTTTCTGCTGGTGTTTAACTCTTCTTCCCCCTTGCAAAGAGAGACAGTCCCTGGCTAGGGTTACTCCCCGACAAGAAAAGTTCAGCAGCTCTTTGTTTCGCCGCTGCAATCTTTTGCAACAGAAGGCAATTACAGCTAACGGCTCTAAGGCTTTACCTCCCCAACTTGATTTGCCTTGTCACGTCCCATTAACTTCGAATTCAGCACTAATCCCTGCCCTGAAATATATAATGAAAGACATTCAAAATATATCAAAATGGCATTGGTATTGATTTATTAATGCTAGGGAATGCTGCCCTAATTGAATTTAGGTCCAGGAAGTAAGTTAATGCAGCTGACAGTGATACAGGAATCCAATCTCCCCAGCGCACAGAGTTAGGACTTTTTTTTCTCTCTTTGTTGTCAGTTGGATAAATAACAAATCAATTTAAATTTCAACAAGGTTGCTAAAAACAAGGCAGCACCTGCCTGGGCCAATCACTCGGCCGGGGTTTCGGCTGCCGGTGAAGGGCAGGGGGGGTCAGCAGGGGAAAAAGTCCTCGGGTCTTGCTGGGGGTTTCTTGGTGCCGACCCCTCCCTGGAGACTGGGGACCGTGTTTCTTGCTGGGGTCCAGATTGGTGACTTTGTTGATAAATGCTGTTGTAGGTAACAGTTGTTTTCCCATTTTCCCTCCTCCAAAGGACTCGGAGGCTTTTCCTCCTCCAAATGCCACCCGGACTTGGACCTGCAGATGCTGCCCATGGGGGCAGCAGTTGTGGGGCTGTGCTGGGGCAGCGCGGGTCCCTTCCCTGGGCTCCGGGGTTGTCTCTCTACCTGACTTGCCCAGAAACTCTCATCTTCCCTTTTTTTTGGGGTGCAATCAGAGGTCTCTGCAAAGCAGCAGGAGCTGCTGTTCAGTGCTGCCTTTGGGAGATGCCGCCAGCGTCCCTGTGGTCGTGCCTTGACTTTTAGCTGTTGAACACGTTCGTTAACGAACGTGTTCAAGTTTAGGCTAAACAAGTCACAAATGCTTGTTGCTAATGGGTTTTGGGACTAAGCAACCGATATTGCTACCCTGGAACTGCAGAGCCCAGTCATTCAGTCTCATCTTTTTTAATTTCTCAGGGCTTTTTTTTAAGCCCTGAGAAATACTCATGGCTTGTGTTTGAAATCCAGCCCTGCTGGGGTTGGTACGGTCAAGAAGGCAGAGGAGCCTGAGTTAATTAAATCAACAGCTAACAGTGGAGGTTACCCACAAAAGTGAACCTTGGTGCCCCTAAAACCACTGACCAGAGAATGGCTGGAAAAAAACAAAACCACAGTTGGAGTGAAATGGAAAAAGAAATCTTCAGCTCTATATCACTTCAGCTAGCCACAGGTATCAGAATATTAATTGCTCTTTGACTTGATTTTGTTGTGGGATTAAGGGCACATTGTGGCTTATTAAGATATTCTAGGAGCCACAAGGATGGATGCAAAATCCATCCGTTAAGCATTTCTTTGCCTGCTGAAATCCAGAATGCTACTGCAGTAGCTCCAGCCTCCCGCTGCAGCTGCTTTCCCAGCACGGCCTGGGGCACCGAGCAGCCGCTTCGGCTCTCCCGAACCGCGTGTTCCCCTCTGACACCTCGAAGCTCTTTGTCCCTGGGGGGGGGCGCAGATCGGGTACCGAGTGTAATTCTCCCTAAATTTTCGGGTGCAGTATTGATTTGCTGGCTTTGCCCACAGTGAAAACTCAACGGTGGAGGCTGGTGCTGGGTCCTGCCTCCTCCCTCTATTCCCAAATGCGCAAACTGCTGATGGACGGACCGGCGTGGAAATCTGCAGGGAGGTACCCGTGACCGGGAGGGTACTAGAGGCTATAAAACGCATGGGACCATTTGAGACCGGGGTGAGCTAGCTACACAACAGGTTTTCCTCTCTCCTGCAGCAGGCTGTCCCCCCCTCCAGTGCTGGCTGGTGCTGGAGGACTCGTCCCTGCTCCCTGGGCATCCTCATTCCTTCTCCCGGGCCTCCCCGTGATGCTCTGCTCTGTGCTGGCCGCACTGCGCAGCGGCACTGATGGATGTAAAAGAAGATCACAGCCCGAGCATCGCTCAGGCCAGCGTGCAGCCGGCAGCGGGGAGGTTTCCTGAGGACAGAGGCAGCACGGAGCTGCTGAGCTGCTAACCGAGCTGCCTCCGGCCCCGTGTTTGCCGAGCCGGGAGCCAGCAGAGCGAAACGGGCACCTCGGGGCCATGTGTCGCTCCCTGCCCAGCGGCTGGGTGCCGGGGGCCGTCGCTCTGTGCCTTTTTCAAACTCATAAATCCAAGAGATCAGAGCAGGGGGATCCAGTCCAGCCCATAAGTCACGGGACGTCAAATAAAACCACG